TAGCCAGAGGGGAGACTAGGGGGAGGTGGCCAGATCTAAGGCCTCAAGGTCTTGGGAAAGGTTTTGGATTTTATGTTGGCTCATCATATTTTATGTTGGCTCAGCTATAATCAGTTTAACAACCATTGGAGGGCTTTAAGGGACATACCTGTTTAACTGTTTCAAAATAGATGATTATGGCTGTTCTAAACAGAATGGATTTTAGGAAGATACCTTAGTCTGTTCAGGCTGCAATAACAAAATATCATAGACTGGGTGAGTTATGGCATTCTGGTTGCTGGAAGTCCAAGCTGAAGGTGCAGGCTGGTTTGTTATCTAGTGAGGGCCAATTTCCTGGTTCATAAATAGCGCTTTCTCCCTGTATTCTCACATTTCAGAAGGGCGAGCCCACCTCTCTATGGTCTGTTTTATAAAGGCACTAATTCAGACCTGAGATTCCTGCCTTTATGGTCTAATCACTGGTGATTAGGTTTCGACATATGAATTTGAGGGGGAGGAGACACAAGCATTCAGGAGGCAAGAGTGGTGTTAAGGACAACGGGTAGAAAGAAGGTCACTGTGAATGTTCAGGTGAGATCGAGTGTTGAGAAATGGATGACGTTTCAGAATGACTGATTTAACATATGAGGGGGGTGCTAATAAGCAAATCTAACTGGGCACAGACTGCAAAAAAATAATGAAAAATTGACACATTTAATTTTAGATAGCTATGTGATACTACAAGAATTTTTTTTTTACTTTACTAATATAGCCATTAAGTAGATTTTGAAAGTGAGCTGAAATGGGATAGGATGTTGGCTCAGCTATAAACACTGAAAATTGAGATGTCTGACACTATGGGATGCAGTTTCCTGAATATTTTTGTTTTGTTTATATTTCAGCTTTAACTCCCTGAACCTCACTTTTCCCAACTGTAAAATAAAGATCATATCCATGCATTGCCGGTGGATATAGAGCTTGGCATATAAGAGAACTTTGGCAAAACAATTGCTGTTGATAATACCACTCCTGGGGAAATACCTCAGTATAAACTTTGTTTTCAGTAGTGTGGTTGTTGGCTCTAAACAAAATTATTTCATTTTTCAACCTTTTATATTAAGAAAAAAATAATGCCCGCATGCAGTGGCTCACGCCTGTAATCCCAGCACTTTGGAAGGAGGAGACCGGCAGATCACTAGGTCAGGGGTTCGAGAACAGCCTGGCCAACATGATGAAACCCTGTCTCTACTAAAAATGCAAAAATTAGCCGGGTGTGGTGGCGGGTACCCAGGGAGACTCCATCTCAGGGGAAAAAAAAAAAAAAAAAAAAGATTATTCTGATGTTCATTCTTAGTGCTATTCCATGGCCTTTCCAGTTTTTTTATGTCACCTATTTCTCTGATTCATAAGAAAATGGTATCCTTTTCTTCCTTTTGTTGGTGAGAAAGCTAATTTCCAAGGAATTAATTGAGATGGTGAGGGTTACCAGTTAAGCCTTTGTTAAAGGTAAAACTAGCATCCATATAAAGATACAGCTTAGTGATGCATTGTCTGTCGTTCATGTTTTACAGCTGGAATCACTAATCAGAGACCTGAATCATTACTTTTCCATGACTGCTTCAGAGATTCAAGTCTCTCAATTTTGTGTTAGTTACACATGCTCTCTTTTGTTTATTGCCTCTTAGTTTTGAATTGTTGCTTAGTTCCACTGCACCATGTCAAGGCCTATTTATCTCTAAAAGCTAATAGCTTCCAGAAAGAGCTAGGGGACAAGATCTGAGCACTGAAAGAGTTGTGTATGTCTTCCTTCTGTGGATTAGTTGAAAGAAACAACTCATGGGAAAACAAATTAACTTTTTCCAGTATTTTAGTTTTACTTTCCAGTATAGTAATTTTTTTCATCACTTTCCATTTATTTATTTATTTATTTATTTATTTAGAGACAGGTCTTACTCTGTCACCCAGGCTGGAGTGCAGTGGCACAGTCATAACTCACTGTAGCCTCTAAGTCCCAGGCTCCAGTGATCCTCCCACTGCAGCCTCCAGAGTAGCTGGAACTGCATGCACATGCCACCATGCTCATCTAATTTTTTTAGAGACAGGGTTGCTTCATGTTGTTCAGGCTGGACTCGAACTCCTGGGCTCAAGTGATCCACCTGCCTCAGCCTCCTAAAGTTCTGGGATTATAGGTGTGAGCCACCATGGCTGACCTTTCTTTGGAATTTTAAATCATTTTACCAAATGCCCAAAACTCTGTAGTACTGGTAGTATTTAGTCAAGTTCTGAGCAATTTTTTTTTAAAAAAGAGAATATTAAAAAGCTTAATAAAATACTAGCATGTACTGGACATAATATGCTATTCTAGTAAGTCTTAATAATTATCTATAAAATGTTAACACTTTTATTCATATTTCCGTATAATCAAATTGAACGGATACATTTTTCTCTTAGGAAAAGTACTAATGAGCCTAGTGCTTTAACACTTGGGAGAAAAATAGATAAATGCGACTAAACACAAGTCCCTGAGATGATAGTCATTGCCAAGTGTGCACAGATGGGAAACTGGCATATTTTGAATGTAGAAGGAGAGGTGTATCCCATGTGAGGGGAGCACCATTGTGATTTTGAAGATTATACCATGCATTCTCTTGTTGGTATCTGCTTAATTTCTAGCAATATCTCATTAACATTTCTTTTGTGAGTTTTTTTAAAAACACATCTTGAACTTTTAAACTTTTAAGTAAATAAGAATTCTAAATTCGTGTAATTCTTTCATTAAGGAAGTGAACGCCCAGAAGTGCATACAATTTCTTTAAACACTTTTATACTCTGTTAAAGTTTGTTTTAGGAAATCCTTGTTTAACATTATGCATCAAAGACATTCTAAGCTTAATTTCTAAAATATTAAATGCCAAAGAGTAGAAAATTCTTAAAAACAACCACTTCCAACTTGTCACCTTATTGTTAACATTGACAATTTCACATGGAAATTGTCAAATTTCAGTTTTCTTTGACTCTTTAAGTCAAATAGTAAATGTGACTGAACCTTCAATATTTTAATTAAAACAATTTTTAAGTATTTGTCTTTCCTTATCTTTTATTTTTTTCATAGACCTCACTCTTAGATAATTCTGAAATCACTTCCATTGATACTCACATGTGACTCAAGTTTGAAATATGGAAATAGTTATTGGGGTGGTGTGTGTGTGTGTGTGTGTACCTTCTGTGTGCCATAAAATAATCAGGCAAAGTGATTTTAAGATAGTAATCTTTAGCAAAAGCAGTCATTTTATTTTTCTTCCTCTAAAGAGTTAAGCAGATCTAGACTTGAAAGTTTGCTGACTTAGGTGTTTCTTGTATAGTTCAAGTGAAATTGCAAATAATTTCTGTTTGCTTGAGCAGCATGGCTAAGGAGAGCGTTTTATTTGAAAGAAAGGTGACCATTATGTCTTACAATGTAAATTTTACTTTGATATTTCCTTTTTGGTATTCTTGGCAAAGCCATTTATGGTCTGGTATTTGTCTCTAGTATTGTTCCTCTTTATATTACTTAATTGTGCTTTTTATTTTACTTGAAATTAGAGGCATATAGCTTCCAAAGACAGCTTTATGCTGAATAAATTCATGTCTCCAGAGGTGGCATATGCAGCTTGTCTAAGAGAAAATAAGCAAAGATGGCTTCCATCGTATATAATTCTGACCCAGTTTCTAAAGTGTAGGTAGAGACCACCACCCAAATCCTACTCATGAAGTCTAAGTACCTGGGCTGTGCAGATGTGGATGAAATGCCAATATAGTTGTATGGGTTTTTTTAAATTAATTTTTAATCATACAAGGGACATAGATTTGTTTCTCTTGTTAAAACAGAACATACACATGAAGCCAGTTCTCCTCTGGCTACCACACCTCAATAGGCATAAGCATCCTGCATAAAACTAGAGCTACACTGTATGATTACAGTGATTGAATGGCCAAGATCCTAAAATGAAAATCTGCCTAAATTTTCCTTGTTTAGGAAAATCTGAACTCCTCAAGGGTTAGAAAGAGGAGACCCACAGGGTTACCCACATGATTCTGGCCTGTGGTACCACAAGAGAGAGGTAGAGAGGGAAAGAATGTTCTTGTTCAAGAATACACCAAACTTCAATGAGGTTAAGTTGTACAAACTTAAGTGGAATTTTATATTAGGAGACGTTATCTAACTCAGTATACATGTATATGTATATAGATAGATACATACCTACATGTATTTATCAAATAATTTTATTAGAACCTAATAAAAAAACTATTTCTAGTTCTTGCTTATATTTTTGTTCATCCACATAATCTATACATTTGATCCCTACCATTTGTGCCTACTACATGGTAGGAATTTTTCAGACATTATTTCTAATGTAGTTATCCCTATTTTACTTCTTAGGAAGTTGAGATTCAGAGAATAAATAGTGTATCCCAATTTGCAGTAGTAGTCAGGGAATGGGATGGGGTTGAATGCTGTTTCTCCTTAGCTTCTTTTTTGGCATCATGTTACCTCAGAGGATCAGCTTCTGGGATGTAGAAATAAAATTGTTTAATGTCTTTGATTTATTAAATGGCATAAAAGTTTTAAATTCTCATTCTAATGTCCTTCTAATTTTCTGAAGATCTGTCTTTGATGACAGAGAAGATACTCTCTGAATGTTTAACCACCAATACTAAGTGGGTTCTGACCAGAGTGGGTTCCACTTGTATGTCTAACAGTGAATGTCAACTCAGGCAGAAGGCCTCATGAAGCCTAATTAATAGCAGTATAGGCTGGTTTAAACTCTTTTGGCCAGTTAATATATTTTTTAGAAAGTACCACACAATGTTATTCTCAAAATCTTTGTCTAAATCTGGTATTAGCTGTAGTTACAACATTCTGGCTTCAAGCTCTCAAGTCGTTTTTTGGGTTTGTTTTTATTGAGTCATTGAAAAATTAAAGTAAATGAACCTATAGAATTTCTTGACTGAGAATATGTCCTGTTTTTCCCTTTTTCTAGGTCTATTATTAGCAGAAGATTTTTCTGCATAGTTGGCACGCTGTACCTGTATCGGTGTATTACAATGTATGTAACTACACTCCCAGTACCCGGCATGCATTTCAACTGTTCTCCGAAGGTAAACTATTCCTTGCTGTAATTTCCCTTTCTGTTTGTTTCTCGTCTTGCCCTGGGGTCCTTTGACTGAGGTTGCAGGAAAAAATTTTTCAGAATACAGTTGAGTCCCTCCTCCATCTAAGAATATTACTAAACGATGTGGCTAAGGGGCCCCACCCTTCCCAGAATCTCTAAGCCCTGCCAGTGCCTCCCGACTGGGGAAATATATGGTCTAGTTTGTGTGTTAGAAGCAGTTAAGCTTTGTGTGGGGGTGTAGTTCCTTGGTTTCCTGCCAAACTTTTAAAATATCACTCATTTCTTTGACACTCATCCAGAAGCTTTTATATGCTTCCTCTCTCTCTCTTTGGAGGGAAAGCTCAATTTCAAGTGATATTTTTTCCATTTTCCTTCTTTCTATTAATCACTACAGCAGAGCCAGGAAGGAAAAGTATTCTTATCTCCTTGTAGTCCTCTACCAAACCAAATAAGATTACTGTTCTCTGGGGTAATATATGGCCTTACTGATTTTCTCTAGTAACATGGAAGTCTTTTTTAAAATGAACTTTATTTCTCTCTTATTATTTCTACCTTTCCATCAGATTCACATGACACTCTTTATCCCCTAACCTTTACCTTGAAAGAATTTTTAACTAGGGTGATTGTTGGAACTCTATGAAATAATTAGCAGAAGATTTTATTGTTAAAATATTTATGTACATGAAAGCTCTTTAATGCACTTTTTAAAAAAAGGCTAATTTCTCTCCTTGATTTTTGGTGGGAGAAAATATAGCATACTCTGATGTATTTGAGATCATTTTTTGCATTTTGCCTGTGTGGGTGAAACAGCCAAATGCTTTCAGTCTCATTGATTTGTACTTTTGTTCCCCTGAGAAGATATATTTTCTCTGATAGAACCTTTGGAAAGAGAGCTGAAGAATTCACTCCGGATTTTTAATTTGATCATAAGAAATTTTGGATTTCTTTAATTTGTATGTCCCTTGTGGCCCCCTTCTTTCCTAGACTTACATATGTGCCTACAGAGATAGCTCATTTCTTACTTAACTTTTTCCTTTTTTTTTCTTTTGCTACACACTACTACTTCCTTACCTCCAGAAAAGCTGTCATACAAAAGGAATGTTCTCAACATTCCACTCATCTCTATCAGCCATCCTGCCTCTCTGCACTCTTTCTTGCAGTTTCTTTCACCCTTTCAAAGAAGCCAGCTTCACATCTTTTTTATTGTCTGTGAAAGCTCTCAAGCACTCACCTGTTGCTCCTGGGTTATAGGGAATATCTTGTTGTCATTGAAAATCCAAGGATGTGGACTCTTGCTGGCAGGCTGGCTTGATAAGCAGCCTATTCTCAGCAGTAAACTGACAGTTTAGGATGTTCATCTAAGTTTAATTCAATTCCTTAAAAAAGTTTGTGCATTGAGAAATTTTGCTCCCAAGGGCTAGGTAGATGTGGATTCTGGCCAAGCACATGTTGAAGATGGATCCAGTATTGAGGGACCGACCGTACCATGTAGTCTTTCTCCCTACTCTGCTTTTAAACTTGTTTCTTCTTAAGGACCACTGTAACTCCACCAGTTGCTGGCAAGCCCATACTTGGTGAGCCATTGGTTCTTACAGAGTCAGCTTGAGTCATCAACATATCTCACCAATATTCCATGCCTAAGAATAGCTTGTGGGTTTTCTTTGTAAACACAGAAGTAGCAGCAGGAACTATGCACAAAAGCCAAACTCAGACGTGTTGCTCATTTATTGTGTTGCCAGAAACCCTAACTAGGGCCATTATTTTATGAGGATCTTCTGAAAACTAGAATCTTAAACAGTAGGAGGTGAAATATTAGCACAACTTAGAAAAAATTATTAGTTAAAACTCATTAAATCTGATTACTTATTTTGTAGAATAGGACTCTTGGAAGAAAGGATTTAGAATACACTTTTTTCTTCTGAAAATTTTCAAATGTATCCCAACTGGTATAAGGAATTCCCATAAACCCAACAGTCAGATTCAGTAATTATCAAGATTTGTGACATTTGTTACCTCTCTTTTTTCTTTTTGAAGTATTTAAAACAACTCCCAGATAATGTCATTTCATCTCCACATACTTTAGTATGCATCTCAAAACTGTGAACGTTTTAGTACAAAACCATAATGCTATTGGTGTTCAGTAAAATTAATAGTCATTCTGTGATATCAGCAGTTACAAGTTGATGGAATATCCTGATTGTCTTAAAATTCTTTTCCTTTTTTTACAGTTGGTTTGTATAAATTAGGGTCCAAAGTGTTTATATTACATTGACTTGTTCTGGCTTTTAAGTCTATAATTCTAGAACAGTCCTTTCTTCCTTTCCCCACTCAGCAAGTAGCCTGTAGACATTAGATTAGTTGTCCTATAGAATATCCTACCTTCTGGATTTATCTGTTTGTTGCTTTGTGATGTCAAGTGACTTGTGTCTCTCTTCTCTGTGTTTCCTCTGGGGGGGAAATAGGGGAGGGATGGTGGGGGGTGGGAAGCTGGGGAGAGATAGCAAGGGGAGAAATGCCAGATGTAGGTGATGGGGAGGAAGGCAGCAAATCACACTGCCACGTGTGTTCCTATGCAACAACTTTGCATGTTCTTCACATGTACCCCAAAACCTAAAATGCAATAAAATAAATAAATGGGAAAAAAAAAAAAAAAAAGAAAGTTGGCTCTGCAGACTTAATTACATTAAATTTTAACTTATTAACAGAACACTCCCCAGGTGGAACAGAAAGATTTCTGAAGCTAGACACAAGAATTGGGAAAGGCCTCGAAGGCTTGGTGCTGCCTCTTGGATGGCAGATCAAGCTTAAGAAATTCAGTGGTCAGGCAAGGGCTAGAATCCTCCACTGAGGAGAGGTATCTGAAGTGAGAAAAGGGTGACACTGGAGAGAAGCCTCAGAGGACAGCTTTGCCTACTTTAGAATCATACCTAGGGCTAAGGGACTCAGAATTGAGAGAAGGCTTATTAAAAGTCACTCAGGCCAAAGTTCTGCTTGATGTCTGAACATCATTGTCGCTGAATCTTCGATTTCTTTCTGAACCATTATACAGAGAAGAAACTTATTACCCCTGTAAAAATACAGACTTACCTAACAGTATAAAGAACACTGAAGTCAGGGTTAAGACAGTCTTACACAACCATTTACTAGCTTTAACTTTTCAGAGACTCAGTTCCCTCCCTAATTGGCAAAGCAGAGCTAATGATGCTTTTTGAAATCTGTCTTAAGGAGTTAGAAGTGTGAAAGGAGACAATTTCTAGGGGCTCTGTCAGTGTAACATGCTATACAGAAGTAAGAAGAGGACTTGGTATTGTCCTCATTCTTCAACCCCTAGACTCGTATTCATCCAGTGTGAACTGATGTAGCAAATGTGCATTAAGGACCTGCTGTGCTTTGGGTGCTAGAGTATGAGGCATGAGGATGGTCGATATAGTCCTTACCTTTGTGGAAAATACCTTAAAATCTGCTAGTTTAAACTTGTACCTTACGTGATAAATGTGTAAAATGCTGTAATAAGGGCCTCAAGCTAAGCTACTGGCCCTAAAGATGGATGGAAAGAAAGAAACAGACTTGAGCAATATTTAAGAGACCAAATCGACACAACTTGATAATAGATTTCATGCAGGGAATGAGAATGGGGAAGGATTTCAAGGACTGGATTTTACCACTGGTATAGTGACATGGTGTAGAGAAAAAGAGAGTCAATGACTCGGATTAAACACAGTTTAAGGTATCTGTGAGATAGCTAAGTGGTGGTATCCAGGATAGTTAGCAATATAGTCTAAAGCTGAGGGTAATATCAAGGCTGGAAAACAAATATTTGTGAATCATCATATTCTGGATGGTGGTTAAAGCTATGGATATGGATGAAAAGGCCCAGAGACAGGATATAAAAAGCACAATGCTTCAAGAATTGGATATTCCATGATTTGAGACACCAATTGAGGCCTGTCACTTAGTGCCTACTCTGACAGTTACTCAATCATCACTAAATTGTAAGGCAGGAGAGTTGAGCTTTAGATTATGACTTCCTGTTTAACACAGTCATGTGAACTTAAACTTGGTTTCACCATGCCATTAAAACCCATAGTTAGTGTACTTAATGCTTTCCTTAATGCCAGTACTCAAAATGTGCAGCTTCTAAGAAAAATATTCCAACAAGTATGCAGTAGTGATTATAAAAATTGGTCTTTATTGTCCATTCACTTGATGGCAGTGTACTCTTCACAAAATGTAATAGCTCAGAGAAATAATCATCCTGTGAGATGATCAGATTGTGAGGAAAAGTAGCCTTCCCATAAATGTTTCTGCAACAACAATAGTAAGCCTCAGGGAAAAGGAAGTGAAGAGGGAAGTAGATGTGTTTAGTTTCTAGATTATAAATTTCAGGTGTATCCCATGGTGGTGTACATGTTCATGGCTTACACTGGAGGCTGCCAAGTTTTTAACACCTTGATTAGCCCGTGTTACTCTCATCATAGCTCCAAAGACCGGGTATTCCATCTGAAAACAACCTCTTCTCATCTTATTACAACTGTTTATGATCTTGTTTTTTTTAAATATTTGAGAATTTTTTGGTGTTCTAAGCTTCTTGTCAGGTTTTTTTCTGTTTTAGCAAACTCCTTAAAAAAAAAAAAAAAAAAAAAAAACAGGCAGCCTAATGCCAATAGAAGAGAAGAAATAACTTACACTGTTTTCTACTCTCATTTTAATAATCAGATGAGTTAATTTAATAGTGACTAAACAGTAAAATGAGATGCATGTTTGGGCATGTTTTGTGGTCTCCATGGTAACCTTAGATTTGAAGACCTTTGAGAAGAGAGAGATTACATTACTGCAGGGACACTCAGCTGGCTAATGCATTAATTCGACATGGAGTTTTCAGTGAAATGACTCTTGAACTTGAAAAACATTTTTTAAAATAATTTTTGCCTCTGATATAAATGAACACAGCTCACTTTTGGACAGACTTATGTCTGGGAGGCATCT